AATTGCCGATTCGATTTCACTCGGTTCGCAGCGTGAATTTAATTCGCGTTTATTTACGAAAAGCCAAGTGCGTCAACGTACGAATAGACGCGGGAGGAACTTGCGATAACGAAGATGTGCTTTCAGAGTACACGTTACTGTTACTATTAATCGCTTAATAATTCAATCGACTTTAATTTAACGAATATTCCTACGTACACCCGGGCGAAGAAAATGAAAATTACGTGTGAAAGCTGACGCGAGGAATTAATATCAAATTGTTATACAATTGTTATACAACAAATAATCGAATTGAATTTTGTTTAGTAAACCAAGTTGTTCTTGAATGATGCAAGACAGACAGAGAGAAAGTCCAAGAGTTAATTAAATTTGTTTGTGTACTTGCAAGATGAATGGTTCATTTTGTTTTGTTTTTGTTTTTTTGTTTTTTTTTTTGTAGTCGAAACGCGTAAATATCACGTGTCTTCGTAAATGTTTGGTTACGTTTCAATCGTAAAGAGTATCAATCTACGTATGTCGAGAAATTGTTCATTTAGGAGGCATTTTAACTTTAATTTCACGTCACACTGAAAATCATATCATAACGTAAGCATTTAAATATTGCTTTCTGTTGTATTCTCTTGTTTTTTTGCACGATATTTTGTACAAAATTGAAGTTGATCTATCTTCCAAATTAATTATCTTGTCGGCACGAGTTGGCCCTTGTTTATGAACAACATCGTGCTGCATCGATCAATGCACGTTTAAAAACACAATGTTGAAAACACGTTTCATTTAAAAAATCAAAATTAATCTTCATGAATTTTCGCGCGTCCATCGGCGAGAAGGATTAATACATCACTCTGAAACGTTCGTTTCTATGAACGATGATAATGACATAAATCAAGGTGGTAATATTGATACTAGCCGACATTTTTATCATTCGACTCGCGATAAACATTTCCAATGAAAGAGCAAAAATTCAATCTACTCGTTGAGTTTGCTCGTCGTTACAAAGGAGCAACGGAGAGATTTACAATTCCCCCCCTCCTCTCAAAGATTATTCGATTCGATTTCGATGAGGTAGAACCGCGACAGATCGAGAGACGCTGAAAATTCCATCGTACACAGCCGGATCGGTAACGACGTACAATTTTCTTCTCTGGTTTCTGCCTGGCTACGTTTTGTTCCCGGATCATCAATGTATCCGGTTTCGATCGCCGCTGGTCGGCGATCGATCAACGTCACTGGCCATTATCAGACCCGCCCGTTAAAATCCAGCGAACCGCTCCGAAAAGAAGAGAAATCAAGTGATTCTTTCGAGAGTGTTGCACAAACGGAGGACCCCCGGCGACAGACTATTTGTGGAACAGCTGCCGGCGACAAGGAAGTAGCAGAATGAACTCTTCTACTTCGGATTAGTCTTCGAGGGATAACGACCACGTCGAGGATCGAACCAAGTGTTTTGCGAAAGCGAGTCACGAACCGAGCCAATTATCGCCGAGGCTAATGAACCTATCGGGTCGTGAGAAAGAAACGAAGGAAGAGAAATCACCGGAATCCTCTGCCGATATTCTTCGACCATCTCTGTCCAACTTTTGTCGCAATCTAACGGGCCGACCTTTCTCCGAGCTTTTTACTCCTCCACTTTCCGCTCCCTCTGCCTCTTTTGCGTTTCATTTACTTCCGCGAACGAGCGCGGGATGTATTGTGATGATAAAAGCCCTTGATTGTTGTAGCTTATTACTGTACGCGCGATCATTCGTGGAGTATTGTTTGTTTGTTATTTTTAAAATGTACGTTAAACGAGGATTTTTGTATATTAAATGAGAAGAGAAAATAGTTTCCTATCCGAATTATACAGTATAACAATCCTCACTGTTCTACTAAAACTTCGTTAATAGAATTTTCTAACTATCTGAATCAATGTATGTACTTACGATTAGCAGAACGACACGATAATGCGCATAACAAGATTATTTTTCTTCATTTCTCTTTTTAAATTTTTGTATCCAGTTCTGTGCCTCGATTTAATATCTTAATTTTGCATCTGATAATAAACACTATTACCATTGTCAAACATTTATGAGCTTGTAATATTTTTGGAATGTAGTCTGAACTGAGTTGAAGTACGCGCAGTGCATACGAATTTCCGAGTCTGGTATCTTCTCAAGGACGAAAGCACGATCTTCTAACGTACATTAACGCGCTAATTTACAATTCCCAAATGCGCTTTCAGAATTTCCGCTCCTTCCGTATATTCTTCGCAGAAACTATCATTGCGAGATAACTTGGATATTAATCCATTAAAGGCCAATCGCGATTGCAAAGGCTGCTGCCATAATCTCAACTTCATTACTGTTTTCTAAATCCTTCGAATGGACAATTGATATTTATTGCTTTTTGAAATACTGATTATTGAAATATTCAATTATTAATTTCTTCAATTTTCAGTAAATGACTCTCACATTTCGCTTGATTTTCTCTTCGCGTGCACGTTTCGTATCGAAGACTATACTTCGTCTCACGGAATTCAAAAATCAGGACCATTTACATCGATCTTCAACATCGCCAGTATTTTTAGTAAAATTTAAAGACGAGAATGTAATTTGAATAATTCTTGCATTGAAATGTATATCGTAGATAATAATATTGATTTTTCAAATAATTAACAACTCGAGTTTCGAATTTTGCTTTGATTACGTATATTCATATGCATTCGCTTGTTCACTGATAATTTATAACTGAAAATTCGTTCATTCTCTCGTATAACAAACAGTGTAATAAAAAGTAATGAAACATCACGTACAATTTACTTAATTAATTTAATCAAATTATTAATTATCAATTATCGTACATATAAATTGAATTCAGTTCAAACTTTTAAAATTTACTAAAAAAAATACGGAAGATGTTGAAACTGTGAGCGCTCCGATTATTATTATTATTAATTTCACGTGAAGACATTGCTACAATAAAATCAAGCACGAAAATTCTGCGGAAGAATCGCAATTGACAATTATTTCGTTCGAAATGAGCAAACGAGTCGCCGGTAACTTGCGAACGGAAGTACGATACGTCACGATCAAACAGTGGAAAATTTCCTCCAAATTAATAGATGCTCTCATCGGATAACATCAAAGCGCGTACATACGTTCATACGCTGTTTCCGCATTGTCATTGCGGTGTTTATACCACCGGAAGATTCCACACACACACCCTCGCCCTTTCCCTCTGTCTCTCTCTTACCCCACATGTCGCCCGACACACGCTCATATTCAGCTCGTATAATTACGTTGCTAGAATAATAACGCGGCTTCCTTTCACGTAGCCGTCGTCGCGTGAACGATTCAACCACCGATACGCACGTCACTGGCGCGATATTTGTTTCGTTACGAAGTCCCGAGCGATAAGTCTGCTCCTAAGCTATGACATCCGCGTTGTAATTTCGCCGTCGGCATCATCGCACCGCTCGTTAAGAACGCAAAAACGCTCCCCGAGTTTTCCTCGCGGCCTTAGAACTGTTTCACCTTCGCTGGCGGACGGATTTAAATCGCCAGGCGAAGTTTAATTTCACATGTTTTCATATAAATTATTGTAGTTTCTATATTTTCGAAGTATAAACGACTACGTTATTATAATAATTTATTATAATTTGTAGTTTCTATATTTTCGAAGTATAAACGACGTATAAACTACGTTATTATAATAATTTATTATAATTTGTAGTTTCTATATTTTCGAAGTATAAACGACGTATAAACTACGTTATTATAATAATTTATTATAATTTGTAGTTTCTATATTTTCGAAGTATAAACGACGTATAAACTACGTTATTATAATAATTTATTATAATTTGTAGTTTCTATATTTTCGAAGTATAAACGACTACGTTATTATAATAATTTAGTATAATTTGTAGTTTCTATATTTTCGAAGTATAAACGACTACGTTACTATAATAATTTATTATAATTTATTTGCAATAATACATTCGGCTTTCTCAGATATCATATAGGTGTCGATATGTCGGACGTTAGTACTTAAATAGTTAACCTTAAAACAACGAAGGACGAGGTTAGGAAAGAACCGCGTTATGTTCCTCGTGTTCTTCGCAAAATCTCATCAAAATTATTCTTTCTCGCTTGTGGCTTAACATAGCGTTGAATGAATAATTAATTGTTTGTTATTTATTATTATACTATTACTATTATATTACATATAATATTACTATTATTTATTATTACACTATTAAATATTATCCGTGAATATATACCGAAAAATAATTATTTATTTGTTAACATGTTCGTTCGTTCCTCTCCAAAAGATATTATTCATCCAAAGTAGATGCTGATAGAAATTGTTTAATTAATTAGAACTATATCGCGAATGATTACTGGATGAATCACGCCAAGCAGGATTGCCCCGTAAAGAAAATTTCGAGAACTAGCTAACGATCTACAGATAGAAATATGCATCTACGAATTTAATACATTACCTACGACACGCGCACGAAAACGTATCTTCCAACCAAAATTATAACACTAGAACTATTGCCGACTAAAGTATAAAAATTGTATCAGAGAAACTCGAGTGAAAGGAATATAAAAAAAAATTTTTTACAATGCAATAAGGAACACGCGCTTCTGTCAATATATTTTACAATAATCATTCGAATCTGGCGTTGCAAAATGTCTCCAAAACATTATAAATTGGTCACTTTGGTAGTTCCAGTGTCAATAAGCAATAAGTTTGGTCCGATAAATTTAAGATTTAGTATCCCTCTAGGGTTGAACCTTCAAGTAAATACGTATTTACGCGCACATATGTACGTGCATATGCCTGATAAGACGGTAGTTCTATGCACCAGCGGCACGTACATACTTAGAAGGCATTCGCGAGAGAACTTATTCGATTTGAGCGAACCCAGCACCGAGGAAAATTGGTTCGAGTGACTCGCGATGGTAATTTAATTAGAGGAACGAAGTTCTATCAAGGTTAGAGGATAGATAACTCACCGACCACGTTCAGTTGAACAGAGTATCCGATCGGCGGAGTGGTGGATATTTGGCACTCGTATATACCGGAATCCTTCTTCTGTGGATATCGTATCCTCAACGTCCATTCTTCCGCGTGCGGAGTGTGCATCGCCTCGAAACGCTGATCGCTCGTGTAGGTGTATCGACCGATCGTCAGCAGGTGGATGTCTCGATGTCTTACCCACGATACCTAAAAACAACAATAGAACAATCGTTTACAAATGTTTTCGTGCTGTTATCCATATAGTTTTTGCTTTTTCTTTTATTTCTAAATTTAACTCGCTATCAAAAGTTATTACGTACTTCTTTTTATTACACAGCGAACGAGATTAAGGCTAGACACTGAAATACTGAACATGTTGAATAGTTGAAAGGAGCATTATTTTATACAACTGGAATTTCCATAAATGAGCGCTCAGATAACGCAAATATATCTTCTCATTATCAAAATCTTAAGCTAAATATATCTTTTTATTATCTAAATCTTAATCTTAATCTTTATTATCTAAATCTTAATCTTTATTATCTAAATCTTAATCTTAAGTCAATAATACAATCGTTACGATATTTTAACTACTCTGAAGACATTGTGTAAATTATTTTCAGTAGATTGACTCCTTCGTACTGACAATTTTCAACATTTCGCAAGCTTTTAGAAAACCCAAGGAGTCTGAAATCAATCTAACAACAAATTTTATTAACTATCGAAACAAATGCATAATTCGATATTTAACTATTCTCATTAAAGACGCTATTACGTTGATATGTAACTGTACTCATCAGCGATGTGACGTTCTCCCTTCTATCAACTTCAAGCCAAACAGAATCTTATTTTACTCAACCAATAGAATTATCAGCAATTACATTAATTCACGATAAATAAATGTACGACGGATATTAACATCAGACGAACGAGCCTCGAACGAGTTTCAACAATTCCGAAACAAGTCACGGCTGAATGATATTGAACAGAATACGGTAAACCTTATCGAGATGTTGACGGTACGAGCTGACGCGAACAACTAAATTTCTACGCTCGCTTAGTTGGCCTTTCATCGTACACGTAAGGGGATTATAACCAGAGGAAATTATAAACACACCGTTCCACAAGTCGTTTCTCGGAGCTGGTAGTTCGGAGAAACGCTGACATGCCGTTCGTCAACTATCAGCGAAACGTTGACAACGTTTTAGCCGATTTCGTGGCATTCTCTGAGGAAGGGAGGAAGAGGGGCGGCGGACACGCGCGCGTGTCACGCAAACAAATCAATTGACCCGGCGGCACGCCTGATGTTTGACGTTCTCGTTTATTGACTGGCCCCTGGTCATACACGCCGATTTCGGTGGTTGTCCACCTGCCGTTCCAAACGTTGCGTTACTCACGCTGTCAGCGTCACGACAACCTCGCTGCCGCACCCCTTTGACGCTAATGCCAACTTTTCGATAATGGCGAGGTTCGACGTTCGAACGAAGAGAAGCCAGCAAGCCAGCGCGGAAAATAAAGCGCGAGGTTTATTTCTGTAAAGCAGATCGATGACGGGAGATTTACGAGGTCCCGCAAATGCGGCCGGAGAAGCGCGCATTCTCGGCAAAATCGATTTCAACGGGACTTTCTATAACTACATCCGGGAGTTGACAAGACGGCAATCGGCAATCGTGATTGGTTCAAGTTTTAATAGAACATCAAAGAGTAAAAGTCGGTCGTTGTTATTTGTCAATTGTTTTTTGATATTGCTACCTGCTGTTACTTCGTTACTGTTCTTTAATCCAATAAAGGTCCGAGAAATAATTTATGACAATACTGTTAGTTTTCTTGGAGTTTTCGCAGGATTGCAAATAAAATCATACTTCACAGCCCGAGTATCAAATTTTTATTGTTTCGCGCAACACGATATACATTTCTATGAAAACATTCGAACATTTGTCACAGGAAAACGTTTTATTTACACGCCAAAGAAAAGATTTTGAAATTTCATGAAATGTTCCATTACGATTACATTGGTGACATTTGAAAGCAATCTGAAACTGTGTGTAAAAGTTATTAGAAAAGTATTAGAAAATTAGTATATAACATATATTGATTGTATAACATGAACCATATTGAGCTTAACCACAACTATATAACCACACTATATAAATTCAATATGTCACACGACGTTGAATGACACAATTTACTTGAAACATTAAACGTTTGAATGCTCGTCTTTGATTAATTACCATAGTTGTCAAATAATTATTATCAACATAAGTACGCTTGAATATTATACATAATTGTGGAGTTAGGTAATACAATCGAGGTTAAATTGTTAAGTATAGCATAAAGTATAGGTTAGTGTAGGTTAGTATTAAATTGTTAAGCATAGCACAAAAGTATAGGGTAGGTAGAGTATATAACAGATACGAAGAGTGAAGAGCGAGAGTGAAGAAAACAGAGAGAATGAAAAAAAAAGAGAAATGTAAACCAAGTCCACTTTCATGGCTCTATATATATGATTGTGAGTAACGAATTGCTTTAATAGTGCGACAATTTATCTCAAACTTTCGTCAGTTTCGTTAAGCAAAAACTTTGACATTTTTACTCTCATCCTTTACGTTTCATCTGTATGCGAAATATGTGCTCCTGTAACTAATACAACTCGACTAAGTACACGTATACTTTCGCTAATAAGTTTCAGCGATAGTGGTACGTTTATGTCCGTTTATGTAACGACGACACGTAAAGAGTCGAGATTCCTCAGCCCGATGAAATTACACGAAGAAAACTGACTGGAAAAGTTTGCTTACCGCTTGGCACTCCAGGCGACTGTATTTGCCTTAAAAATTGGTCCCCTTTGCCGAGTGCGCGAAGACTCTCGCGACGTTTCAAAAGCAGGTGCAAACACTTTTCCCGAAAACGTCGGAGTTAATCCGAAGTGAGAAACGCGGCAGATTCGGCTTCGGGACATTTGTGCAAACACGAGTGTGTGCGTTAGAAAGAATGAATGGTTGATTTTATCGAAGTTGGAAACGTTACGAAACAGACAAAATAAATATTATTATCCATATCGAGATGAACACCAAATTAATAATTTCTTTTAAGAATTTAAAAATTACAAGTTTCCATTCTAAATCAATTACATCTATCGACACTTTACAATGATAACATCACCATAAAATAAAATATTTATCTGCTTAAGGATTTTTTTTTTTTTTTGTAGTTCCAACATGCTTCAAAGTATCAAGCATAGTTCAAATGCGTAACGTGTATTATATTAATTTATAAATGCGCCGGGACGAATAAGTTTAAAATATTTCAGCTGCAGAGCCGCGGCTCGTCGCTCTCAACTTCATGCTAATACACGTTAATTCGTAATTACAGGTCTGTATGATAAAATGATATTTTAAATGAGAATTAAAGAACGCGAAATTCCGAAAAAACACAGAGAAATAATTCCCCCTGCGGAATTTCATTTTCATTTATTTGGATGTATACGTAGACGACATGCAAATATGCAATAAATTTACAAATAGCAGATTAATGCTATTATCATTGGTGATGTTATCATCTTAAAGTGTCGAAGATTATAATTGAGTGTATTTAGAATGGACACTTGTAATTTGTAAATTCCTAAAGTATACGAAATTATTTACTTACTTTAGTTTTGTACTTTCAAACAAGATTTAAACGCAGTTGAAGTTTCGCGAGAATGGTTTCGGATGGTCACTAGAAAATTCATGTATTTACATTATGGTAACTTTAAGTTTCCTAATAAAATATGCATGAGTTTAGGATGCCTTTTGTGTTGGCTACCACTCGTGCTAACTTCCAGACGATTTCCTATTCTGAAACTTATACGAATACTGTTCTGCCTTTGACGAGCGTTCAAGTATTCAACAACACTAACATATTTAAAAACAAGTGAACAATCTTGTTGATGATGTTGTAATCATTCTTATTTACATATTTTAATTCTTGTAAATTTTCTTTTCACTTTGTCACCTGTATTTCAGTTTTTTTTTTTTTTTTTTATAAACTCTTGGTAAAAATTCTGTCTCGCATATATATTATAACACATGCATAACTCAATCAGTATAATATCAAAATCATAATACAAGAATACAAAAATTCTGTCACGTACGTGCTTATAATAACTAGACAGGAAGAGATTTATAGGTCTTGAATTATAATAATAAAAATCTCATTTCGCAATATTTTCTGAAATAGCTTCTTCTTGCACCGAATCCCTCGATTAATCACTCGTATGAAAAATAGAACACCGTGTCACCAAGGGTTGAAGAAACTTTCCAGTCAATGGTATTTTAATTTTAATGCCCATTGATGAAAAATCCTTCAATTTCATTTTCCATTAATTATTTATTCATTACATTACAACAACAAAAATAGGTAAGAATAATGATTTAAAATAGGTAAAAATAATGATTTAAAAATAAAAATTCGTCACTCGTGCAAGAGTATACTATAACATGTTAAAAGAGTTGAGTATTATAGTGCAAAAAAAAAAAAAAAAAAAAAGAAGAAGAAAGAAGAGAAAGCAATTAGAATTGGAATATTTGATAGAATGAGGGACGAAATACATCGTCAAGTTCCATTCATAAATCATAAACCGCTAAACGATCGGTATCGTTTGTACATCGGGTATTACACGGAGATGGGAAATAGGTCGGATATAATGAATGGACGACGATCCCGATTTCCCGAAATCGCGTGGGGATCGGCTCGGAGAGATGATTGCCCGACCGCAGACCAAATGACTGAGCATAATCTATGAAATCACGCCCGGTGAAAAACCATCGGAATTGCCATTTAAATTATGGGTGGTACTCGTTGTTCGAAAGAGCCGTAGACTCTTTCGGGCTCGAGCATGTGACAGTTCAGGATTGTAGTACAGTAGATTTCGTTCTAATTAACGACTTCGCCTCACGTCGTTTTGCAAGTTACTTGTTAGAACTTTAACTGATTTACTTATCCCGCATTCTGAATAGGGACCGTCTTCGAATCCATTTTCCCGCAGGGTATAGTCGCGCAATGCCAACCGAGAGCATCGACCCGAAGCTACAGCGAGTATTTGCACGCTCGATGGAAAATTATCTACGTTTTAAATTACTAAAACTTGCGAGAGAAACTCATAGAACGGTCCGATCGAGCTTACTTCAGAGCGTGAAGCATCTGCTTTCACAATCCCGAGTTTGTCCCTTTCAAAGATGTTTTTACATCACTTTGAAGAGAGGTGAGTGATTTGTATTAATTACAGTTAATTAATGTGAGATTTAAATAAATAATTATTACATATAACTATCGACAATTAAAGAAACAATAGCGTGTAAATATTTAAACAGAACGTACTATGCGGATAGCACGTGGTGAGACCTGGGCAATCGGTATTACTTGATATATAATTACTAATTGTATTATTATATAATTAAACAATTAATTATATAACTGATGCAATTATTAATTATATGGCAATTAATACAAGTTGATTGTAGCAAACATTAGATCCACTAGATTAATGAAAAATAAATAGTATATAGTTTTGACATATGGGGTAACTTGTAAGCGTATACAAATTTGCAAGCGTGTGGAAAATATTTCATCCGAATTTTTATATTCTTCGTAAGAAACTATTTTAAAAAGTCTAGGATTCATTATTTCTTCTACAATGATTATATTTGTAAAGGAGAGATTCTTTCTTTGTCTCTTTAATTCCTCCATTTAATTATATTGAACTTTTGATAAAATTCAATTGAGCCGTAGACAAAAATATCTGCATCATTGATCTGCTTCTTCAATTTTTACTAACTCTGATCCGATCAGTGTTGCATAATTCTTCTCTGCAATTGTTATTTTAACTAATTATTCACATCATCATGTCAAGTTTTGCGTGTGCAACATTAATCGAAGCTTTGACGCCGTTATCTGCTATTTTATTTAGGATAAATTCAAACTTTCACGATATATATATATATATATATAAAAGAGAGAGAGAGAGAGAGAGAGAGAGAGAGAGAGAGAGAGACAGAAGGAAAGTTGTTCCAATATATAACTCCGTAAAAAAAAAACGTAACAATGGTTATTACAGAATGTCTCCGGGAAAAGTAAAATATCGGTAGAACTATACGAGACGTTGTTAATAAATTTTCATTAGGAAAGATAACTTTTACGGCATAACTTTTCGGCGATAATCCAAACACAGTAGTTCCCCTTTGCCGTGGCTGTAATAAACTGGCGAAGCTTCATAAACGTGTAACGAATTCCATGAGATTAGGAGTAATTGTAAAAATGGTCCCGGAACGTCACACTGGGATTCAAGAATTGGCCCCGTAACACGGTAGTTCCGCGAATAAAATTTATACGTCCGCATAAAAATCCGGTCAGAAGATAGAATTTTTTCTTAGTATTCAAAGTGAATAATACTTCTTTCTTTTGTCTCTGTACATGCGTATATGTTGAAACGAGTAAATTTTTGTCTGTAAAAAGTGGGTGGTCGAGACGAGGATAGGCTGTCTCCATACGCAGCAATCTCCACGCGACAATTATTATTATTTCTGATATAATTATTAATTGCGTTACTGTGTGATACAATTATAAATTACATAACAAACAACACGAGTTAATTGGCTGCGTTTGCGATTCATTTCTTTAAATGGCTTTTTTGTTAGATCTCTCGCGAGCTTTTGCAATCCTCGTTATATATTAATGTTTGAGAAGAAAACAATGCCAAATTGAAAACCACGCCAACCTGGGACGATGCATCCGAATTAAGTTTAATTAATTATACTGTATATTGTATGTTATTACATATATATATATATCACTGATTGACATTTTCAACTTTAAATAAGTTATATTCGTCTAAAAATTCCAAATTTCATCCTAATTACATGCAAAATATATGATAAATTCTATTAAAAATGCCGAAAGTTTGTGTAACTATTATTCCAAAACTGTTTACAATTTCTAGCAAAAGTATACACCGTTAGAAGCGCTGAATCTTCCCCTTTGGAATGCTTTCCGTTTCATCTCGATACGACTTCCGGTTTCTGAGATATTGTCGTGTAAAGACAGAGGTGATTTTCGGCCGGTCTCTATCACTATCCTTGTCGCGCGCTTCCCCCTCTCTCTCGCGCGTAGCTTGCCGCTGACCTACCGCACACCGCGTCACGTGAGGGCGGTCAGTGACAGACAGATTTCCAGGAAAAAATGTAGGTCACGGCGTCTGGCCTCAATTCAAGATGGCGGACCGTCTGGCGCGAGTTTCAACTCGCGTACGTAAACTTTGAAGCGCTATATCTTCCGAACGGGTTGAGATATCGACGTGAAACAAACCGCGTTTTAAAAGGCACGCTTTCTATCATTTTCGGAAGATATTCCGAAAATATTTCTCCATTACCCCTCGAAAGGCAATATTATATTTTCAATTTGTTTTTTTATAAATTTTTACAGATTTTCAAAGAAATCAACTTTCAATGAAATTTGATCGTTGAATGCTGTTCGGAGAATTTAATCGTTTAAATTGAGAAACTCCGATTACGAACGACCTGCAATAGTGTTCGACTCTAATTTTCACGGGGTGTATGCAGATACACGCAAGTAGGCTCGAATAAATTAGAAACTCATTAGATTTCTTAATTACTATCATGTATCTGCGTATATAACATGAATAAACAAGCAAATTAAATTTGATGATGACTTGAACCCGCGTACAAAATTATTTAGCAAATAGTTGGAAACCTAATTAGTTAAAAATTGTTTCTAAGAATGTTCCGTGAGATAGAAATCGTTCGTATTAAAAACCACGTGTCAATAGCTCCAGAATTATGTGCACTTTCAATTGAAATTGAAGCACACACAAGCAGCTTATCGTCAGTTCGAATTTTCAACGTTCTGATTTATCTCTTTTTCTCTTCTTATGCTTGTAACCCGTTTTCGCGAGTAATTGTCCACTGTTCGTGGCTCGTCGTGCGACACAGACAGAGAACGTTCATTCGAAAGTGTCACGAGAACGCCGAGAGTTACTTAACTCGCACGCGAAACAATCTGCCCGATGTAAATGCACTTGGTTAGCGAACGAAGCAAACACGGGAAAACGATTAAACGAGCGTAGAGGCACGCGTGTGGAAACACGTATTCGCATTCGCGGAAAGATTAATTCGTAAGTCACGCGAGATGAAACGAATCGCGACGTAGCCTGCCGCTGATAGAAAATAAAACGATTTAGCAAACAGCTACGGATCGTATCTATAAAGGACGAACGACGTGTAAGCTTAACGGGCGCTGGACTGGAAAACAATGGTACGACAGCGTGAACGGCTATCAGAAGGAGAAGGAAAAAAAAAAAAAAGGAAAGAAAAAAGAAAGGAAGGAGTAAAAGTCGTACGATCTGATGTTATAAAGAAAGGAGTGCCGCGGGTAATAAGCTGACGACGAAGGATGTCAAGCGAAACATAGCGCAACGTGCTTCGCAGCGCGCATCATCCTCGGATACGACTTTTTAACGCTAACGGTGTCTAGCTCGTAAAGCCTTTTTCCAAACAAATTCGCGCGAGGCGCGTGCTATTAAAAAACTTTGTTTCAGATGGCGGTACCGTGTCTATGGAGATAATGTTTCTTTCTTTTTTCTTCTTCGGGACCGTAGAATCGTAAAAATCGGAAGGATTAATTATCAGCGCATCTGTCGCTTGTGTCAGCTTGACACACTTTTTCTTACAAGTATTATACAGTATTGTAAATTGGATACAGTATCAAATATTATACAATATATAAATATTTCATACTATACAGCTTCGACATTTAAATTCTTCATTTTTGATAACAGAATATACTATCAAAGAAACTAATATTCGTTTCTAAATCTCTTGCCTTTTATTATTATTATCATTTGCTCGTGTATATGTAAGTATAGTCATTGGTTGTTTTGAAAAATAATTATAATAGATCGAAAACAACTGGACATAACGTTGGAGAAAAGCAGATAATAATTTAAAATTAACTCACAGGTAACGCATACGTAAGGATTTTTATAAATTTCAAATTTAACCTGTTTATTGTCATCGAAAGAATTTGCAAGTGTAACCATTTTTATTCAACATTAAGGAATAAATTGGACAAATAAGGCAATAGATAAGAATTGAGAAACGAATCACTTTCCATGGTTCAAATATCAAATTTTTATAGTTTCACGTAATGTATAGTAGTGCATGTTTTTACATATGAATAGAAAATAAAACGATTTAGTTAAGCAGATGATCAGGCTCTTATGGCTTCGTCGCCATAAGATTTGGTGACGTTAGACCGTGGATAGCACTTACGATCAACGCGTCACACATCAGTGACGTCTCGTAACGAACGTGTTAAATTATACAGGTAACTCGGGGACAGACGGGGCAAACTAAGTACTGACTCTTGTCAGTGTAAAGCCTCGACAGCCAACTTCTCAGCTCCCTGATTATGCCACGTCCACATTGCTGTTCGCGAACAATTCGTAGTCGGCAATGTGAACACTTTTGCCAACTACGAACAATTACAGCAATACTCTGTTCGGCCAGGGATCAAAAGATCTGTTCTCAGCACATTTGACGATCACTTCGAACTAGAGACAGGAAAAATGGAATATTTCTCATCTATCCTCAAAAATGAATTCTTTTGCAGTTATGAATCCTGTGTGAATCCTTTAATCTCGCAGTAGAATAGATGAGACGATGAACAGTTGAAAATTTATAGTAGCTTGTTACTCTCACATTGTTGGCAACAGACAAAACACGGTAGATTTGAATAATCTTCCAAATTCACTAACATGGAACGAAAGATAACAAAATTGGCAAAATGGCGTGCATTCCTTTTGAAAACACCTTTCGAAACTTAAGCTCCTACAAACGTTGTAGGACGCATTATCTAACAATGCATGAGATGCGACACACGACAAACGACAGGCTGAATTCAGTGGTTAAACAAAACAATTCTTGTTTGAAGATTAATAAGGGAGGTACTTACAGTTCTGTTGCCGAGGTTCTTCACTTTACAGAGGAGCTCGATGGTTTTCCCAACGAGGCCCGTCACGTTCGACGGGACCGACGTATCAATGTAAGGGCTCGAATTTTGCTGCGTCGGCCATTCCTGGAAAGTGTCGGTTTCGACCAACCGAGTACTGTGCACAGCTTCCTCTGAAATCAAAAAAAAAAAACGCGAATCGCGTGAACAATTTGAACACGCGAGTCCTCGAAAGCTGCGTCGTAGGCTAATTTCATTATTAGAGACAAATTTATTTATGCATACTTAAGCTGGTACGACTGGACAACAGAAATTAAGTTTTTGCACTGCTTAATTTTGGAACTTTCAACTTATTACTGATCCTTGTCAGAAAGAAAAATTAAATATCATAAACATTTGTAGCGTAACGCAAACTCTGTGACCCCGTTCGCATTTTTAGACTTCTGGCAAGGGGCAACAACACGATCGAAAGCTTCGATACGTCGTCTCTTTGTTACATTATTCACGAATATCGATTCGAGAGAGAGAGAGAGAGAGAGAAAAGAAGAAAAAAAAAAGAACAGCAAGTATCACGGAAACAGATCTCGCGAATAACTCTCGGCGACGTGTCATCCTTTCTCCTGCTTTTTTCATCTGCATATTCCACGCCAGATATAACGTTCCTCTTTTTATCGCAAGCGTGAATTTTATTACTCTTTCTTTGCTCTCCCTCTCCTGTTCTTTTTACTTTGTTGTGGTTTGTAATTACGCAGGGTAACCCGGTGGCGCGCAACCCTTCTGACCCGTGAAAAATAATTTTCCTGCTCGGCCGCCGGTCGCATTTATTAAAATTAGACTGCGCCAAAGGAAAGTGGCGAGCGATAATGTACTTACGGTACACGTGCATGCAGCCGCCAACTAAGCTATACTTTAATAACACTGTCAGAAATTCCATCGCGTCGGTGAATATTCGCGGGCATCGCGCGAATCGATACGTCGTCGTTTTCAAAAATTGAGGTCCACGTTACGCGGCGTTGTCGCCCGAGTTTCAAAGTCAAAAAATGTTCCGGTGTCACACAAAGGGAAAGCATTTCGGTGTCGTATGGGGAATTTAAAAAACGCTGTGAAATACACGGTCGGTATTTTCTATTTTATTTTTTTTTTATTTTTTTTTCTTCTAGTAACTCACACACGCACATACACGTAGATATATCAATCAAATGAGAAATTTTTTCAAGGCAGAATTTTTGGAGAAACATCAGTTCCTTAATCTTTATTTATTCATGGGTGATGAAAATGAACAGGGACGTGATGTGTACAAGGGGAATTAAAAATTGTGATAAATAATATTTATCAAACATCAATTTGAAGCTTGAAACTAGCCGTGATCAACTTGATCAATGTTTGTTAAAAAAGGTAAATTTTGTATGAAAACGAAACATGACCGAACATCGAAAGCATTCTTTTTCGAAAACATGAAATTTCAATGTAGTTTCGAAGTTGCTCGTATTACCAATACAGGTTTTGGAAAACAAGCATCGATATTATTAACATTTAGGAAATACAATTACTAAAACGTTATCGACGAGAATAAGAATTGTAATAATAGAGAAGATTTCTGATTTCTAGATTAAACTTTATATTTTACCCTGCTGCGATCTTTAAATTTCGATATTTCCCATTTCAGGAATTCGAAATCTGAAGAGGATGTTTAACGTAAAATTTGAACAGAAAATTATGCACACTACGAGCTTTATCAAATTTCGATCTAATTTAAGACATTAACGTTGAAACAAATAATTATCTTAAAGTAACTCAACGAACAAAGAGATTCGTAATAGTGAAAGAAAGTGTAAGATAGAAATATGAAAGTTTAAATCATAGTAAAATTTAGAGTATCGCACAAACGAACCAATATGCTTAGAATAATTAATTTATACTCATCAAGTGTTTAAACTCATATTGGACAAAACGTATACAATATATTATGATAAGGTATATGTTTACGTATAACATGTTCAAATATACATGAATCAGACACGTGTACACATTTTTAGAGTAGAGTCTCGATTTATTATATCATCCTCATTCAGCGACAAACTTGTAGAAATTTGACCATTTTAACGAGCACCAATGCGTTAAGTCAAGCAATTGTAGAAAATTGATAACAGCGTCACGAGCGTGACTTATTAGCTTCCTCTTTTAACAATTTTACACGGGCAATGTTTCACGTGTAACTTGCTCGGAACGCCAAACATCCTAAGCATGCGTCTGATGCGAATATTTCTATTTCTCGTCTATTGTAATTAACGTCGTACCGTCGAAGAGCGTTCCGGCGAGCTGCGATACGAAACTCAAACGAATAAACAAAACAAGAGAGAGAGAGGGGAGGAGAAGGCAGGAAACAACAAGGCTGATTACAATCGTAACAGAGTATTCGTTTGCAGGGCTGAGAAGCCGAGAAATTTATACGCGTGATTCGAAGCAACGCGTACGAGCTACCAATCGCATGCTGCGGAACGCGTGAATAACCGAATGGTCATCGCGCGGAGCCGAGTGACTCGAAAGTACACGGTGAAACGGCTGCCGCATAACTATCCTGTTCCCCGGTGTTCCACCATTGCGGCAAACACAATCTCGTTCGCATGAGCGCGGATAACTGCGTGTACAGACGCGTGCATTCGTCACATAAAAATTGGATGAACGCATTTCATCGGGAATGGTCGTCTCGAAAGATTCGAAGCTGGACCTCTGCTACTCCTTGCCGTTACTTTCGCCCGAAAATTCGTCTCAACCTTCTCGCGGTTTACCTATGCGCGTATACGCGAGTTTGTTGTCTATTCGCTTTCAGCTCCGCGACGAGTGCTGACTTCTTCCAGCGACAATGTTCCTCGGAGTTTCCCTTCAGCAGGAACGCGCTTCTTGCAAATCCGCGCGGGCCTCGTCGCTACTCTCGCATGTGTCAGTCGCTATTCCCGCGACAGTCCCGCAATCAGTCAGACAACATTCTCAGTAGTCGTTACTGATTTTTTCTTCGCTCGGTTTCTGTCAGTACTCGTACTCGCGTGGCATTCCGGGATGAAACATCTCTAATGTCGTTAAGAACATTGTCAAAGTTGCGACAATGAACTATGAATCACTACAGTGTGATGAGTACGATGAATAAATGCTTGTATGTAATAACGGGTCTACAACACCTTTGAGATTGCCTGATTTCGTTTCATCGAACTTTTATCTACGAAAGAAGTTTGAAGGATAGACTAATACATTTTACACAGATGCTATCTCACGTCACTATTATTTCGTAACTGAGCATGAAAGCGAAACAATCTAAATAAACTTCAACATACTTTGTTTGTACAGAATGAATTTAAATAAAACTTTGTATGTCTCTTATATGTATTATATTTTATACACGTTAATAAATGCACGTGACACAGAATCAGTCACATTTATCATTGAGAAGTATTGATTAAAGGAATGTATTTTAGATTTAGAAGAATGAGTTACTGGCTGCAACTCGAACAAGGTCAAAGTGAATTTCAAAGAGTAATAAACTTAATTTTCAACTTCAAAAGAAAGTCTATACTACATAAAATTCACATTAAAGGAAAGTCATAAAACGGATACAAAGGATTTTCGGACCCCCTAGGAACTGTGAGATTCCTAAAAGGAACAATGCTTGTTACCTGAAAATTATATATGACACTTTCAATATTCAGTTATAATTGTACAAGCATTATGATACTGATTCTAATTACTATTGGACGAGAATATACAGAGTATCCATAAAGTCCCTTTACAATTTTTAAAAATTTATTACAAAGGCAACTGATAAAATATCTTCATCAGATGTTCTATGTAAATGAAACCCTTACAAAAAAGCTACTCGTCAAGAGAATGAATAGTGTGTATTATGATTTATTGAAACCAAATCAGATCTCCAGACTCAGCGAAACTTCAGAACTAAGTACAAAAGAAATCCACCGTTACGTCCATCAATTCGTGCGTGGAACAAGAAATTTTACAAGACAAGGATAGTGTTCGACAAAGGGAGGAATAAATGACTAAAAACATCTGAGGAAAACATCGTAAAAAATCGAGTACCTTCTTGATGTGCTTCGTGCAACAAATGGTGTTTATATAGAGGTATATTAAGTGAAGCAAAAAAAAAAAAAAAAACTTAAATATATACGTCTCATTTTGCAATAACTTCCACTTATCTGTCTCTTCATTTGCCTTTGTAATAAATTTTTGAAATCGTAACACCCTGTATTCCTTGTCCATTTCACACAATACTGTTGTAAAGGACCTTCATACCTGAGCTAAGGTTAGGCTCATAAAGTAATTGTAGGAATCATTAAACGGGACTTCTTTCCCTAATGACACATCTTGACTAAAAATGACCTGCTTTCCTAATCGTGATCTGGGAAGGGCACAAAGAGAGTCGGCCCTATATAAGACGAACTGCGAAGGTGAACTGATCAAAAAGTCCAAGTTCAGCATGGAGTGTACTACGAAAAGCCAGATGTTCGATGAGAACGATCGGAGGCGCAACTTTACACCTTATCCACGACGAGACGGAGCAACCACAGAGACCAACTATCAGCGTCCATTGTACGATAAGGTCATGTGTTACATCATCCACATTCTCTTCGTCATCACTGTGGCCTGGGTTGTCGGCTTCTACGTCATCTCTGCAGTCTTGGCCCTCATCTTCTTCATCATCGTTGCAACCTGGGTCCGCGAATTGATCGCTTGTGCAGTCTGGTTCCTCGTCTACCTACGAACGCCGGAATGCTTCTTGTAATATCAGTATCATACCGACTGCCAGTGAAGAGTTCCGCCTCACGATCGAGAAGGAATTGCCAAGAAATGATTGCATCTCCGGCGAGGCTTCGTTGAATCTCACCATGCAACTGTAAAATCGCATGATGCTCATCCAACTGCACTTGTCAACCGTGAGTTCAGCCTCTCCATCGATCAATCAAACTGGCAGTAATATCAGCAGATGAAAATGGATCGGTTCAACCTCTGTGCGGGACGGCCGGTTTACCCCGTTCTGACTATACCGTAATCACCATTCTCTTCTTCAAGTCGTATGATATTAATATTGATTTATAGTTATTGTATATATTTGTATTTAATTTAAGTATCAAGTGAAATTTTCGAAACTTTGTACAAGTTACTAACTAGTTATTTTAACAGTGTAAGAATAGTAATATTCTTAAATATTTTATAATAATTTCTATGATTTCACAAATGTTCTTTAATCTATTTAATACTTTAAATAATTTGAATTTTCTTTTTATTTTTCATAGCAAAATATTATTTAAATTTATTGGATTTTAATGCTTATTTTGACCCATAAAATGTACAATAGACCGATGTTTTGTTACGAAAAAACTCTGTACATTTAACGAATAAATGCGATCATTCTTGTACAAACACATACGTGTATTAAATTATTGTAAAAGTTCCTACAACAGTTTCCTATTTCCAATATAGTATTTATTATAACGTAGAAATATACGCTCGTCAGATTATTCGAACTCCATCTGCATTATGAACTTTCCTTTTGTATGAAATTCCTACTACTTTCTCTCCCCCTCCTCTCTTTCTCTCTTTCTCTCTCTCCCTTTCTTATTCATCCCCTAAACGAACGAAATTTATTTCCCTTGATCTCTGGAAATGTTCGTTCATCACGAACGGAACAAATAGTAGCACGAAAACACACGTCCCCACCCCCACCCCCGCGAATGAAAACGAAACATCCACTTTGGATATTCTTTTGAAATCCGCATTCCGAGTTGGGAAACCTTCCCTTTAATGGAAAGTATCCACGAGTACACGAATCTCTCGATTGACGACACTCTACCATCGCGCAAATAAGACGACTTGCGAAGGTGAACTGATCAGAAAGTCCAAGTTCAACATGGGGTACACTACGGAAAGCCAGATGTTCTACGAGAAGAATTGGAGGCTCAACTTTCCACCTTCTCCACGACGAGACAGAGCAACCACAGAGACCAGCTATCAGCCTTCATCGTTCGATAAGGTCCTGTGTTACTTCATCCAGTTTCTCTACGTCGCCTACATCATCCTTGGGGTGTGGGTCCTCAGCGAGATCTCTGTGACCTTCGACATCATCTTCTTCATCAGCCTTGCAATCTTCGTCGCCTGTTTAGTCCGGTTGTTCATCGAGACGCCGAAATTGTAATATCAGTATCATACCGGAAAATTATGTATGAAAACGAAACATGACCGAACATCGAATGCATTTTATTTCGAAAATATGAAATTTCAATGTAGTTTCGAGGTTGCTCGTATTGCCAATACAGATTTTGGAAAATAGGCATCGATATTATTAACATTTAGGAAATACAATTACCAAAACGTTATCGATGAGAATCAGAATTGTAATAATAGAGAAGATTTCTGATTTCTTGATTAAACTTTATATTTTACCCTGCTGCGATCATTAAATTATGATATTTCCCATTTCAAGAATTCGAGATCTGAAGGGGATGTTTAACGTAAAATTTAACCAGAAAATTATGCACACTACGAGCTTTATCAAATTTCGATTTAATTTAAGACATTAACGTTGAAACAAATAATCATCTTAAAGTAACTCAACGAACAAAGAGATGCGGAATAGTGAAAGAAAGTGTAAGATAGAAATATGAAAGTTTAAATCATAGTAAAATTTAGACACCTTCGAGTATCGCACAAACGATCCAATATGCATAGAATAATTAATTTATACTTATCAAGTGTTTAAACTCATATTGGACCAAACGTATCCAATATATTATGATAAGGTATATGTTTACGTACAACATGTTCAAATATACATGAATCAGACACGTGCACACATTTTTAGAGTAGAGTCTCGATTTATTATATCATCCTGATTCAGCGACATACTTGTAGAACTTTGACCATTTTAACGAGCACCAGTGCGTTAAGTCAAGCATTTGTAGAAAATTGATAAGAGCGACACGAGCGTTGACTTATTAGCTTCCTCTTTGAACAATTTTACACGGGCAATGTTTCACGTGTAACTTGCTCGGAACGCCAAACATCCTAAGCATGCGTCGGATGCGAATATTCAGAGGCGAACATTTTTATTTCCCGTCTATTGTAATTAACGTCGTTCCGTCGATCGAACAGCGTTCCGGCGAGCTGTGATACGAAACTCAAACGAATAAACAAAACGAGACAGAAAGAGAGAAAGAGAGAGAGAGAGGGGGGAGGGGAAGGAAGGAAACAACAAGGCTGATTACAAGTGTAAGAGAGTATTCGTTTGCACGGCTGAGAAGCCGAGAAATTTATACGCGTGATTCGAACGAAGCAACGCGTACGAGCTACCAATCGCATGCTGCGGAACGCATGAATAACCGAATGGTCCTCGCGCGGGGCCGAGTGACTCGAAAGCAGACGGTGAAACGGCTGCCGCAAAACTATCCTGTTCCCCGGTGTTCCTCCATTGCGGCAAACACAATCTCGTTCGCATGAGCGCGGATAACTGCGTGTACAGACGCGTGCATCCGTCACATAAAAATTGGATGAACGCATTTCATCGGGAATGGTCGTCTTGAAAGATTCGAAGCCGGACCTTTGTTACTACTTGTCGTTTCTTTCGCCCGGGAAAGGCAGTCGTTGCATTACTCTTTCATTTGTCTCAACCTTCTCGCGGTTTACCTTTGCGCGTACACGAGAGTTCGTCGTCTATTCGCTTTCAGCTCCGTGACGAGCGCTGACTTCTTCCAGCGACAATGTTCCTCGGAGTTTCCCTTCAACCGGAACGCGGTTTTTGCAAATCCGCGCGGGGCTCGTCGCTACTCTCGCATGTGTCGGTCGCTATTCCCGCGACAGTCTAGCAAACAGTCAGACAACATTCTCAGTAGTCGTTACTGATTTTTGCTTCGCTCGGTTTCTGTCAGTACTCGTACTCGCGTGGCATTCCGGGATGAAACATCTCGAATGTCGTTCAGGACATTGTCAAAGTTGCGACAATGAACAATGAATCACTACAGTATGATGAGTACGATGAATAAATGCTTGTATGTAATAATAGGTCTACAACACCTTTGAGATTGTCTGGTTTCGTTTCATCGAACTTTTATCTACGAAAGAAGTTTGGAGGATTGATTAACACATTTTACACAGATGATATCTCACGTCACTATTATTTCGTAACTGAGCATGAAAGCGAAACAATCGAAATAAACTTCAATATACTTTATTTGTACAGAATGAATTTAAATAAAACTTTGTATGCCTCTTATATGTATTATATTTTATACACGTTTTATACACGTTAATAGATGCACGTGACAAAGAATCAGTCACATTTATCATTGAGGAGTATTGATTAAAGGAATGTATTTTAGATTTAGAAGAATGAATTACTGGCTGCAACTCGAACAAGATTAAAGTGAATTTCAAAGAGTAATAAACTTAATTTTCAACTTCTAAAGAAAGTCTATAGTACATAAAATTCACATTAAAGGAAAGTCATAAAACAGATACAAAGGATTTTCGGACTTCCTAGGAACTGTGAGATTCCTCAAAAGGACAATGCTTGTTACCTGAAAATTATATATGACACTTTCAATATTCAGTTCAAATTGTACAAGCATTATGATACTTTCCGATTACTATTAGACGAGAACATACAGAGTGTCCATAAAGTCTCTTTACAATTTTTAAAAATTTATCACAAAGGCAACTGATATAATATCTTCATCAGATGTTCTATGTAAATGAACCCCTTACAAAAAAGTTACTCGTCAAGAGAATGGATAGTGTGTATTATGATTTATTGAAACCAAATCAGATCTGCAGACTCAGCGAAACTTCAGAACTAAGTACAAAAGAAATCCACCGTTACGTCCATCAATTCGTGCGTGGCACAAGAAATTTTACAAGACAAGGATAGTGTTCGACAAAGGCAGGAATAAATGACTAAAAACATCTGAGGAAAGCATCGTAAAAAATCGAGTACCGTCTTGATGTGCTTCGTGCAGCTAATGGTGTTTATATAGAGGTATATTAAGTGAAGCAAAAAAAAAAAACTTAAATATATACGTCTCATTTTACAATAACTTCCACTTATCTGTCCTTTCATTTGCCTTTGTAATAAATTTTTGAAATCCTGACACCCTGTATTCCTTGTCCATTTCACACAATACTGTTGTAAAGGACCTTCATACCTGAGCTATGGTTAGGCTCATAAAGTAATTGTAGGAATCATTAAACGGGACTTCTTTCCCTAATGACACATCTTGACTAAAAATGACCTGCTTTCCTAATCGTGAACTGGGAAGGGCACAAAGAGAGTCGGCCCTATATAAGACGAACTGCGAAGGTGAACTGATCAAAAAGTCCAAGTTCAGCATGGAGTACACGACGAAGAGCCAGATGTTCGATGAGAACGATCGCAACGTTACACCTTCTCCACGACGAGACGGAGCAACCACAGAGACCAACTATCAGCGTCCATTGTACGATAAGGTCATGTGTTACATCATCCACTTTCTCTTCGTCATCATTATAGCCTGGGTTATCGGCTACAAAGTCATCTCTGCGGTCTTAGTCCTCATCGTCTTCATCATCGTTGCAACCTGGGTCCGCAAATTGATCGATTGTGGAGTCGGGTCCCTCGTCCGGTTCCTACGAATGCCGGAATGCGTCTTGTAATATCAGTATCATACAGACTGCCAGTGAACAGTTCCGCCTCACGATCGAGAAGGAATTGCCAAGAAATGATTGCATCTCCGGCTTCGTTGAATCTCACCATGCAACTGGAAAATCACATGATGCTCATCCAACTGCACTTGTCAACCGTGTGTTCAGCCTCTCCATCGATCAATCAAACGGGCAGTAATATCAGCAGATGGAAATGGATCGTTTCAACCTCTGTGCGGGACGGCCAAAGAAGACGGTTTACCGTGCTGACTATACCGTAATCACCATTCTCTTCTTCAAGTCGTATGATAATNAACAATTTTACACGGGCAATGTTTCACGTGTAACTTGCTCGGAACGCCAAACATCCTAAGCATGCGTCGGATGCGAATATTCAGAGGCGAACATTTTTATTTCCCGTCTATTGTAATTAACGTCGTTCCGTCGATCGAACAGCGTTCCGGCGAGCTGCGATAGGAAACTCAAACGAATAAACAAAACGAGACAGAAAGAGAGAAAGAGATAGACAGAGAGAGAGAGAGAGAGAGAGAGAGAGAGAGAGAGAGAGGAAGAGAGAGGAGGGGAAGAAAGGAAACAACAAGGCTACAAGATTACAAGTGTAGCAGAGTATTCGTTTGCACGGCTGAGAAGCCGAGAAATTTATACGAACGAAGCAACGCGTACGAGCTACCAATCGCATGCTGCGGAACGCGTGAATAACCGAATGGTCCGCGCGTGAAGCGTGTACAGACGCGTGTACTGCGTGTAGAGACGCGTGCATCCATCACATAAAAATTGGATGAACGCATTTCATCGGGAATGGTCGTCTCGAAAGATTCGAAGCCGGACCTCTGCTACTCCTTGCCGTTACTTTCGCCCGAAAAAGGCGGTCGTTGCATTACTCTTTCATTCGTCTCAACCTTCTCGCGGTTTACCTTTGCGCGTACACGCGAGTTCGTTGTCTATTCGCTTTCAACTCCGTGACGAGCGCTGACTTCTTCCAGCGACAATGTTCCTCGGAGTTTCCCTTCAGCCAGAACGCGCTTCTTGCAAATCCGCGCGGGGCTTGTCGCTACTCTCGCATGTGTCAGTCGCTATTCCCGCGACAGTCTCGCAATCAGTCAGTCAACATTCTCAGTAGTCGTTACTGATTTTTGCTTCGCTAGGTTTCTGTCAGTACTCGTATTCGCGTGGCATTCCGGGATGAAACATCTTTAATGTCGATAAGGACATTGTCAAAGTTGCGACAATGAACTATGAATCACTACAATATGATGAGTACGATGAATAAATGCTTGTATGTAATAATAGGTCTACAACACCTTCGAAATTGCCTGGTTTCGTTTCATCGAACTTTTATCTACGAAAGAAGTTTGAAAGATAGATTAATACATTTTACACAGATGCTATCTCACGTCACTATTATTTCGTAACTGAACATGAAAGCGAAACAATCTAAATAAACTTCAACATACTTTATTTGTACAGAATGAATTTAAATAAAACTTTGTATGTCTCTTATATGTATTATATTTTATACACGTTAATGAATGCACGTGACACAGAATCAGTCACATTTATCAATGAGAAGTATTGATTAAAGGAATGTATTTTAGATTTAAAAGAATGAATTACTGGCTGCAACTCGAACAAGGTCAAAGTGAACTTCAAAGAGTAATAAACTTAATTTTCAACTTCAAAAGAAAGTCAATAGTACATAAAATTCACATTAAAGGAAAGTCATAAAACGGATACAAAGGATTTTCGGACCCCCTAGGAACTGTGAGATTCCTAAAAGGAACAATGCTTGTTACCTGAAAATTATATACGACACTTTCAATATTCAGTTCAAATTGTACAAGCATTATGATACTGATTCTAATTACTATTGGACGAGAATATACAGAGTATCCATAAAGTCCCTTTACAATTTTTAAAAATTTATCACAAAGGCAACTGATAAAATATCTTCATCAGATGTTCTATGTAAATGAACCCCTTACAAAAAAGCTACTCGTCAAGAGAATGGATAGTGTGTATTATGATTTATTGTGAAACCAAATCAGATCTGCAGACTCAGCGAAACTTCAGAACTAAGTACAAAAGAAATCCACCGTTACTTCCATCAATTCGTGCGTGGCACAAGAAATTTTACGAGACAAGAATAGTGTTTGACAAAGGGAGGAATAAATGACTAAAAACATCTGAGGAAAACATCGTAAAAAATCGAGTACCGTCATGATGTGCTTCGTGCAACTAATGGTGTTTTTATATAGAGGTATATTAAGTGAGGCAAAAAAAAAAAAAAAAAACAAAACTTAAATATATACGTCTCATTTTGTAATAACTTCCACTTATCCGTCTTTTCATTTGCCTTTGTAATAAATTTTTGAAATTGTAACACCCTGTATTCCTTGTCCATTTCACACAATACTGTTGTAAAGGACCTTCATACCTGAGCTAAAGTTAGGCTCATAAAGTAATTGTAGGAATCATTAAACGGGACTTCTTTCCCTAATGACACATCTTGACTAAAAATGACCTGCTTTCCTAATCGTGAACTGGGAAGGGCACAAAGAGAGTCGGCCCTATATAAGACGAACTGCGAAGGTGAACTGATCAGAAAGTCCAAGTTCAACATGGGGTACATTACGGAAAGCCAGATGTTCGACGAGAAGAATTGGATGTTCAACTTTACACCTTCTCCACGACGAGACAGAGCAACCACAGAGACCAACTATCAGCTTTCATTGTTCGATAAGGTCCTGTGTTACTTCATCCAGTTTCTCTACGTCGCCTACATCATCCTTGGGGTGTGGGTCCTCAGCGAGATCTCTGTGACCTTCGACATCATCTTCTTCATCAGCCTTGCAATCTTCGTCGCCTGTTTAGTCCGGTTGTTCATCGAGACGCCGAAATTGTAATATCAGTATTATACCGACTGCCAGTGAACAGTTCCGCTTCACGATCGAGAAGGAATTGCCAAGAAATGATTGCATCTCCGGCGAGGCTTCGTTGAATCTCACCATGCAACTGGAAAATCGCATGATGCTCATCCAACTGCAGCTGTCAACCGTGAGTTCAGCCTCTCCATCGATCAATCAAACGAGCAGTAATATCAGCAGATGGAAATGGATCGGTTCAACCTCTGTGCGGGACGGTCCAGCCAAAGAAGACGGTTCACCGTGCTGACTATACCGTAATCACCATTCCCTTCTTCAAGTCGTATGATATTAATATTGATTTCTGGTTATTGTATACAATCGTATTTAATTTAAGAATCAAGTAAAATTTTCGAAACTTTGTACAAGTTACTAACTCGTTATTTCAACTTCCACTTATCGGTCATTTCATTTGCCTTTGTAATAAATTTTTGAAATTGTCACACCCTGTATTCCTTGTCCATTTCACACAATACTGTTGTAAAGGACCTTCATACCTGAGCTTCAAAGTTAGGCTCATGAAGTAATTGTCAGAATCATTAAACGGGACTAATCTTTCCCTAATGGCACATCTTGCCTAAAAATGACCTGCCTTCCCAATCGTGACTGGGAAGGGCACAAAGAGAGTCGGCCCCATATAAGACGAATTGCGAAGGTGAACTGGTCAGAAAGTCCAAGTTCAACATGGGGTACACTACGGAAAGCCAGATGTCCTACGAGAAGAATTGGACGTTCAACTTTACACCTTCTCCACGACGAGACAGAGCAACCACAGATACCAGCTATCAGCCTTCATTGTTCGATAAGGTCCTGTGTTACTTCATCCAGTTTCTCTACGTCGCCTACATGATCCTTGCGGTGTGGATCCTCAGCGAGATCTCTGTGACCTTCGGCATCATCTTCTTCATCAGCCTTGCAATCTTCGTCGCCTGTTTAGTCCGGTTGCTCATCTGCCTCGAGACGCCGAAATTGTAATATCAGTATCATAGCGACTGCCATTGAACAGTTCCGCATCACGATCGAGAAGGAATTGCCAAGAAATGATTGCATCTCCGGCGAGGCTTCGTTGAATCTCACCATGCAACTGGAAAATCGCATGATGCTCATCCAACTGCAGCTGTCAACCGTGAGTTCAGCCTCTCCATCGATCAATCAAACGAGCAGTAATATCAGCAGATGGAAATGGATCGGTTCAACCTGTGTGCGGGACGGCCAAAGAAGACGGTTTACCGTGCTGACTATACCGTAATCACCATTCTCTTCTTCAAGTCGTATGATAATAATATTGATTTATAGTTATTGTATATATTCGTATTTAATTTAAGTATCAAGTGAAATTTTCGAAACTTTGTACTAACAAGTTACTAACTAGTTATTTTAATAGTGTAAGAATAGTAATCTTCTTAAATATTCTATAATAATTTCTATAATTTCACAAATATTCTTTAATCTATTTAATACTTTAAATAATTTTAATTTTCTTTTTATTATTCATTGCAAAATATTATTTAAATTTATTGGATTTTAATGCTTATTTTGACCCATAAAATGTACAATAGACCGATGTTTTGTTACGAAAAAACTCTGTACATTTAACGAATAAATGCGATCATTCTTGTACAAACACATAATACGTGTATTAAATTATTGTAAACGTTCCTACAACAGTTTCCTATTTCCAATATAGTATTTATTATAACGCAGAAATATACGCTCTTCAGATTATTCGAACTCCATCTGCATTATGAACTTCCCTTTTGTACGAAATTCCTACTACTTTCTCTCCTCCTCCTCTATTTCTATCTCTCCCTTTCTTATTCATACCCTAAACGAATGAAATTTATTTCCTTTGAACTCTGGAGATGTTCGTTCTTCACGAACGCAACAAATAGTAGCACGAAATTACACCTCCTCACCCCCACCCCCGCGCATGAAAACGAAACATCCACTTTGGATATTCTTTTGAAATCCGCATTCCGAGTTGGGAAACCTTCCCTTCAATGGAAAGTATCCAAGAGTACACGAATCTCTCGATTGACGACACTCTACCCTCACGCAAAAGCGTGTGGTTGCAAACGCATTGCCTTTTACACACCGATACCGCCCGACATTCGTATTCATACCGGTTTTACAACCGGTTTTTCTATCTTTCCTCTTCTACGCGAGGTATCATGTTCCAATTGTTCGCTATTTCAC